AAAAAAAAAAAAAAAACTCTTTCATGTTGAGTCCGGCCCAATTTTTGTGGGCTTGGACTAAATAAGGGCCAAAAGCCTATTCTCTTTAATAAAAAGAAAAAAAAAATCTGCTTGGCATAACCTACTGTGCGCAACAACGGTAGAAGAAAAAAAAGGAACAGAAACTCATCTTTTTCATTCCCGTAATTGCACTGCGCAGTCATAGGAAATCACCGATTTCCGGCGATTGCACCGTTGGATCGTCACCAAATTTGGGCAGTAGATTCATAACTTCTTACTCTTCATTTTGAACGGTGCAGATCGGGTTGTGAGCACGTTAGGTCTGTCTGTTCGTATCTGACGTGAAGGGGATATTTGTGGTGTTTTGTTGATTTGTTTCTTGTGGTTTACCAAGATCTTGTGTTGTGATCTTGAGGATTGTTGTTAGCCTCTAGTTTGGTGAACTAGAGAGGATTTGGTTGTACCCATTATCGGATTGAATAGTGGATGATTTAAGCGGCCTACGGGTCCCGTGGTTTTTTACCCAATTCGGGGTTTTCCACGCTAAAAATCTTGTGTCATTCTATTGCTTGATTGATCATTGTTGGTTTTCTACTGCTTGTGGTTATTGTTGTTGTTGATTGGACTTGGTGCTTGTTATTCGGTTAAAGTCATTATTGTATTTGGTGTCTTTAACCACAACAAAGTAGTATCAGAGCGCCAGGTTGGTTCGTGTGCCTTGTCCAAATCATGGAGACTAACACAAGCCGGATGGTTACCTTGAATGGGTCCAATTACCATTTGTGGAAAGGAAAGATGGAAGATCTCTTGTATGTGAAGGATTATTATTTGCCCGTGTTTACCGATGAGAAGCCGTCGGACAAACCCAATAAAGAATGGGAGCTTTGTCACCGTAAGGTGTGTGGCTACATTAGGCAATGGGTAGATGATAATGTCCTCAACCACGTTAGTGAAGAAAAGCATGCACAGACCTTATGGAATAAACTCGAAGAGTTGTATGCGCGAAAAACCGGGAACAACAAGTTGTTTTTGATCAAGCAGACGATGGCTTTGAAGTACCAGGATGGAAAGACTATGTCAGACCACTTGAACACATTCAAAGGAATCATTAATCAGCTGGCTAGAATGAATATCAAGTTTGACGATGAAATACAAGGTTGTGGCTTCTTGGTACTTTACCGGACTCGTGGGAGACGTTCAAAACGTCTTTGTCTAACTCAGCCCCGAATGGAATTTGCTCCATGGATATGGTGAAGAGCAGTGTCCTGAACGAAGAGATGAGAATAAAATCATAGGGTTCTTCTTCACAGACGGATGTCTTATTCGTTGAAAGGCGGGGGAGAAGTAAAAGCAAGGGTCCGATTGATAGAAATCGAAGCAAAAGCAAGTCTAGAAGGTATGCCAACCTTGAGTGTCACCATTGTGGCAAAAAGGGACACATCAAGAGGTATTGCAGAAAGTTTCTCAAGGAGAATCCAAATGGCAAAGGCAAATAAAAGAAGGCTGGAGATGGTGAAGACGGTGAGAAGGTAGCGACGGCTACCGATGACTTTCTTATCATCTATGAAGGCGATGCCGTCAATGTCGCTTGCCAGGAGACTAGTTGGGTGATCAATAGCGGTGCTTCAATTCATGTCACATCGCGAAGGGATTTCTTCAGGTCCTACACTCCCGGTGACTACGGAAGTGTTAGGATGGAAAATGATGGTATTGCTAAGGCAGTTGGCATGGGAGACGTGCACTTGGAGACTGAAAATGGCAACACCTTAGTTTTGAGAGGTGTGAAGCATGTTCCCAACATTCGCATGAATTTGATATCTACCGGCAAGCTCGATGATGAAGGGTTTTGTAACACCTTTCGAGACGGGAAGTGGAAACTCGCGAAGGGATCCTTGATTGTGGCGAGAGGGCAAAAGTATTCTTCATTGTACGTGATGAACGTGAAGATTGTGGATCCTATGATCAATGCGGTGGATGATGAACGCACTGTGGAACTTTGGCACAACCGACTTAGCCACATGAGTGAGAAGGGTTTGACAGTGTTGGCCAAGAAGAATCTCCTCCCAGGTGTGAAAACGGGTTTTTTGAAGAAGTGTGCTCATTGCTTGGCGGGAAAGCAAACCAGAGTTGCCTTCAATAGAGTTCCCCACCCACGGAAAAAAAGGTATTTTGGATATGGTCCACTTTGATGTATGTGGTCCAATGAAGACGAGAACACTTGATGGTGCCTTGTACTTTGTGACTTTCATCGACGATCATTCAAGGAAGATTTGGGTGTATATGTTGAAGTCAAAAGATCAAGTTGTAGACGTCTTCAAGCAGTTTCAAGCTCGTGTGGAACAAGAAACAGGTGTGAAGCTTAAGTGCATCCGAACAGATAATGGAGGTGAATATTGCGGACCATTTAATGAGTATTGTAGGCAGCAGGGTATTCGACACCAAAAGACACCTCCGAAGACTCCTCAGTTGAACGGGTTAGCTGAGAGGACGAACCGGACACTAGTTGAGAGGGTGAGATGTTTGCTTTCGCAGTCAAAGTTACCGAGGTCCTTTTGGGGTGAAGCCTTGAGTACAGTGGTGCATGTTTTGAATCTTACTCCGTGTGTTCCATTGAATTTTGAGGTTTCAGACAGGATGTGGTCGGGAAAGGAAGTTTCGTACGATCACTTGCGTGTTTTTCGATGCAAGGCCTTTGTTCATATTCCGAAGGATGAGAGGTCGAAGCTTGACATGAAAACAAGGCCATGTGTGTTCGTCGGTTATGGCCTTGATGAGTTTGGATACAGGTTCTATAACTCAGTGCAGAAAAAGCCTGTAAAAAGTCGAGATGCGGTGTTCGTAGAAGACCAGAGTATAAAATAAATCGATAAAACCGAGATGACAGAGAAGTACAACGATGATCTGGTTAATTTAGATCCAGTTCCTATACCTACTGTGTATCCTGATCAAGGGGGAGCGGCGCCGGAGACTAATATTGGTCCTGCAAATGGTGATGTTCTCAGTGGTGATGTCCCTACAGTTGATGATGTTGAGCCAAGTGATGAAGTTGAAGAAGGGGTTCAAGAACCACCAGAAGAACCTATTTTGAGGAGATCCAGTCGAGAGCGACGTCCGTCTACTAGATACTCCTCAAATGAGTATGTGATGATCACCGATGCCGGAGAGCCAGAAACTTACCAAGAGGCGACCTCAGTCGATGAGAAGAAGCTGTGGTTGAAATCCATGGAAGAAGAGATGGAGTCTCTTCACGAGAATCACACTTATGACTTGGTGAAGTTACATAAAGGCAAGAAAGCGCTAAAAAACAGATGGGTCTATAGATTGAAGATCGAAAATGCTAGCTCGTAGCCACGATTCAAGGCACGATTGGTTGTGAAGGGGTACGGTCAGAAAAAGAGAATCGACTTTTAAGAGATATTCTCACCGGTGGTGAAGATGTCCTCGATTCGAGTTGCCCTTGGTTTAGCGGTGTGGTTGAACCTGGAGATCGAGCAACTTGATGTGAAAACTGCGTTTCTTCACGGCGACTTGAAAGAAAAAATTTATATGGAGCAGCCTGAGGGATTCCAAGTTAAAGGCAAAGAGCATCTTGTGTGCAGATTGAAGAAGAGCTTATATGGTCTTAAACAAGCTTTGCGGCTATGGTACAAGAAATTCGACTCCTTCTTGGTGAGTCATAGGTACAGCCAGACATCGTCAGACCATTGTGTGTTCGTCAAGAGGTATTTCGATGATGATTTTATTATTCTCCTCTTGTACGTTGATGATATGTTGGTCATAGGCCATGATACTAGCAAGATTGCTCAGTTGAAGAAAGAGTTAAGCAAGTCTTTTGCGATGAAAGACTTAGGAGCGGCAAAAAAGATACTCGGTATGAAGATCTCTCGTGATAGAAAGAATGAGAGACTATGGTTGTCCCAGGAAGACTACATCGAGAAGGTACTTGAGAAGTTTAACATGAGCAAGTCAAGGGTGGTGAGCTCTTCACTTGCAGGTCACTTTAAGCTCAATTCGGGGCAATGCCCTACAAGTGAAAGAGACAAGGCAGATATGAGTCGAGTTCCTTATGCGTCTGCAGTTGGCAGTTTGATGTATGCCATGGTGTGCACCAGGCCCGATATTGCTCATGCTGTTGGAGTAGTTAGTCGTTTTCTCTCCAATCCGGGAAGAGAACATTGGGAAGCCGTCAAGTGGATATTGAGATATCTCAGAGGTACCTCAAGAGCATGTTTATGCTTCAGTGGTGGTGATCCTATGCTAGTTGGATATACCGATTCAGATATGGCAAGTGATATTGATTCGAGAAAGTCCATTTCAGGATTTCTGATGAATTTTGCAGGGGGAGCCGTGTCGTGGCGATCTAAGCTGCAAAAGTGTGTTGCGTTATCTACCACAGAAGCCGAGTACATTGCGATTACAGAAGGCTGCAAAGAGGTTTTGTGGATGAGGAAATTCCTAGAGGAATTGGGGTTACACCAGGAGAAGTATGTTGTGTTCAGTGATAGCCAAAGCGCTATCCACCTCTCTAAGAACTCGTCATTTCACTCGAGGTCCAAACACATTGAAGTGAGGTATCACTGGATTCGAAACGTTCTCGAATCAAAAGAATTGCACTTAGCAAAAGTGCACACGAGTGAGAATGGTGCAGACATGATGACGAAGACTTTGCCGAAAGAGAAGCTTGAAGTATGTCGACGAAGAGCGGGCTTGTTGGAGCCCACCACTTGATCCGGAGGGGAGTTTGTTGAGTCCGGCCCAATTTTGGTGGGCTTGGATTAAATAAAGGCCAAAGGCCCATTCTCTTTAATAAAAATAAAATAAAATAAAAAAATCTACTTGGCATAACCTACTGTGCGCAACTACGGTAGAAGAAAAAAAAGGAACAGAAACAAGTTTATACACTCATCTTTTTCATTCCCGCAATTGCAGTGCACACTCACAGGAAATCCCGATTCCCGGCGATTGCACCGTGGATCGTCACCAAATTTGCACAGCAGGTTCATAACTTCTGACTCTTCATTTTGAACGGTGGAGATCGGGTTTTGAGCACGTTAGGTCTGTCTGTTCGTATCTGACGTGAAGGGGATATTTGTGGTATTTTGTTGATTTGTTTCTTGTGGTTTACCAAGATCTTGTGTTGTGATCTTGAGGATTGTTGTTAGCCTCTAGTTTGGTGAACTAGAGAGGATTTGGTTGGACCCATTATCGGATTGAATAGTGGATGATTTAAGCGGCCTACGGGTCCCGTGGTTTTTTACCCAATTCGGGGTTTTCCACGCTAAAAATCTTGTGTCATTCTATTGCTTGCTTGATCATCGTTGGTTTCCTACTACTTGTGGTTATTGTTGTTGTTGATTGGACTTGGTGCTTGTTATTCGGTTAAAGTCATTATTGTATTTGGTGTCTTTAACCACAACATTTCAACCATTGTTGATTATTTCTTCTTGCCAATTTTCAAAAGTACAAACATCTTGTACTTCTCTAAAAGGGGATGAAAATCTGCCAAAAGAGAGAAACATTCTCTCAATAAATACGAAATTTAAAGTGTGTTCCACCCGAGCTGACTAATAATCTGAGCTCTCACATAATTTTCGTTTTTACACTTTCTTCCATTTTTCACATTTTCTTCGAGATAAATTAAGGAAAATTCATATATTAACGTTGTCCAATTAACCTTTTGATAGTGAAAATTTTGACAAAACAACTAATGAAGATTTTTATTAGGGTTAACTGCTTCTAAAATCCTAACTTTTTGCTTAATTGCAAATAAACTCAACTTTTTCAATTTGACCAAAAAATTTCAAACCTTTAATAAGTATTGCAATTGTGTCTCAAATTCAGTTTCCGGCCAAGGCACGCCGGAAAACGCGCTAAGGGTGGCTGTGCACAGAGGGGAAGCCTGGTGAAGGAGGTCGCTGGAAGTCGAGCTCGCGGCTGGGGGAAGCTCGCCGGAGAGAGAACGTCGTGGCGTCGGGGAGAGAACGTCAGTGGAGGTCGGCCAGAAATTTGCGAAGAAGATGACCGAAAAAGTCGTCGCCGGAAAAAGTCACCGGTTCCGGCGAAGGTGGATTTCAACGGTTCCTTCGGATTCACATGGGTCAAAGCGAGTCACCGGAAATTTGCGAAAGAACGCCGGAGAAATTCTGTAGATCTACGAGCTTTAACTGGAAAATTGTAAGCCTTATCGTCGGAATTTTTTCGTGAAGCTTGGATATGTTGTCGGCACGGAGGAGAGCTACAAGATAATGTAAAAAATTTCAACATCCGACGAAGTTGGCTGGCGGCCGGTGGCGGTTGACGGCTGACGGCAGTCTGCCGGCGGCGGAAGGTGATTGGCAGCCGAAAATTGATTTTGAGACACAATTGTAATATTTATTAAAAGTTTGGTGTTTTTTTGCCAAATTGAAAAAGTTGAATTTAATTTGCAATTAAGTAAAAAGTTATGATTTTAGATGCAATAATCAAATAGTAAATACTATGTTTGGTTGAAAATAATTGTTGATCTAGAGCAAAAAAAATATACAACTTTCATGTCAAATTTCTTTTATTATTCTTTTTTTTTTGTACAAAGAAGGAGGCTACGACAGCCTAGTTCGCGATTGAACGACGATGAGCCACACCACCCTATCGTGTAACAACCACATGCTGGCACCCGGCGGAGGCTGCTCCAACCTATGTAAACCACCCGGACCCTTGGCCGCCATTGATGCTAGAAAATCCGCCACAACGTTGGCTTCACGATACCCATGACTTATCTCGACCACCCATGGGCGAGACACAAGCTCCCTAATCCCACGGACCAGCCCACCATGAGGACTTGAATAAGCCTCCAACCTAACCATCTCGAGAATGCTCTTATTATCGACCTCGGCCTGCACCTGACAGGCCCCAACATCCCAAGCCAACGACAAACCTTGAAATAGGCCCCATAATTCGACTCCAGTAATGAAACAAAACCCTATATTCATCATAAACCTGTGAACCCAGTTTCCATGATGATCCCGAATTACCCCGCCGGCACTTGCCATACCCGTTGCTGGATTGAAGCTACCATCCGTGTTCACCTTCACCACTGGCTCCACCGGGCACTCCCAGGAGATCCACCTGGACACTCGCAGCCCACTCATCCCCACGCGACGACAGCCAACCAAAGCACGGCGCCCCATGCTAACAAATGAATTCACCTCACCGAGGCGTTGAGACGGGGAGAAGTCGGAATCTTGGAAAATCTTTAAGTTCCTCCACCGCCAAACACGCCACGCCGTAACGCCAGACACCGTCATCCAATCCTCCCCGACCCGACTCAGCTCGCCAGAGAGATTCTCCAACAGCCGGTCACGCAAATTGAGGGAAAAAAAAGCCGACCAAAAACGCCGTGGCAGAAGACTTTTCCAGGTATCCGAGGCCGTCGGACAGTCACGTAAAGCGTGAATCACCGACTCACATTCCGCCAAACATAATGTACACAACGGGCTCGACGTGAGGTGTCGACGGACACGAGTCAGATTAGTCAGCAGGGACTCCCTGCCAGCAAGCCACAAAAATTCTTGAAGGTAATAACTTGTCAGAATTTAAAAATTGATTCATGACTTATTTATTTAATTCTATTTTTTTGTATTTTCTTTCACTTGAATAATAATGTGGCGAATTTCTATCTTTGCGAAATAATAATAATATATATATATATATTAAAAGCCAACCTATTTACCAAAAATAGTAGCAAGAAAAGTCAACACACATTTAATGCATACTTTATTTGGAAATTTTTTACTATATGCATTAAATGCTTGCATAATTAAATTTACTATCCAAATATGATCTTCAAGATTTTTTCCTTAAATAATTTATGCTATACTTATATCCATTATAATTAATATTTTTTGAGTAATATTTTTTAACCTTTATTTAATTATATAACACTAATATTTTTTTAAAAAATTAATATTATTTATTATTTAAAAGATAATGATCACATCATTAAATGAATTTATTGATGGTTAGATAATAAAATTATAGTTATTCTTTAAAATTTTTGACATGTTATTTATTTGTATATTATTTTCAACTATGATAGTGTTTTTATCACTTTTTTTTGTTATGTTTCAAAAATGAACTTAATGTAAAATATTTTTCTATTGCATAGTATGTTAAATAAACTATAAAGCCTTAGGATGAAAATTAGAAAAAATCTCTTGATTATGTAAGGGATTTATTTTTTGGCAATTGCTAAATCATATTTAAAAAAAATTATTATGAAGAAAATTGAATTCTAAAAAACATGTGTGTGTGTATTTTGTAAACATTTATACTCAAAATTTTATTTTGAATTTCATTACATAAAAAAGAATAATTCTATAACTTTTATAAATAATAATAATTACATTATATGACTGTAAATTTTATAATAAAATTATAATTGAGTATTATATGGTGAACAATAATTAATAATTCTTTTTCCTATATCAATGAATAAATATGTATTCTAAAATCAAATAAATATCAATATGACGTGTTAGCGGAATTATATATTAATTAACATGTTAATTTTTTGGCTTAAATAACCGCCACTTATTAAAAGATGTGAAATATGGATGATCCAAGCCTATTGTTTTTTTTTTTTGTCTAGACATACAAGTCCTATAGAAATAATTGATTTATTATATGTATCACGTGCATCGCACGGGGTATGCACTAATAAATGACCTTAAAATTGTGCACCTCGTGCATCACCCGTGTTCACATTTTGGCCTATTACAGGTCACGTACTATATATATCCCGTACATTTTTTTCATTCATTTATATAATTATAAGAATGGATAAATGACCTTAAAATTGTACACCCCGTGCATCGCACGGGCTCTGTACTAGTAATAATAATAATGTGGCGAATCATTCATGTCAAATGATCAATTTTTTTACTCAAATTTGTTACGAAATTATTTTGTCAGAGTTTGTAACTTTCAAATCAACTAGTTTGTAGCCCGTGCGATGCACGAGATGTAATATTAAATAATAATTATAATACGTCTCGAGTTTGAGTCACCTAATAGAAGAAGTGAGAACTATTATTGATCTTGTTTAAAAAAAGGAAGAAAATTAGACTTTAAGTGAATTAGATTTTTATTTAAACAAAAAAACTTATAAAATATTTTTACCGTAATAATGGATTTATAGTACTAATTGTGAATTATTTTTTTACTTTTTTTATTTATTTAATTTTAAATTGTTAAAATAAATAAGGGATTAGATTTTTTAACTATTCATCAGCAATTATCATAACAACAAATTACCACAAAATGAATTCAAAGTTATTTTTAAATTCGAATTTAATGATGTAAAGACGGAATTTTTAAAAAATGTGAAAAGTTACCAAGATTAGTAACTTTTAAATTTGTGAGCGGGATTTTTGTTAATTTTCATGTAAATACAAACTTTTTAATATATTAACAGATATAAATATTGTTACTCTAACCAATAGCCATTAGATTTAATTTAACTATTATAATTGAAAGTGTGTTTAAATTAGAATAAAATACTTTTGTTTGGAAACAAAACAAACATTCAATACAATTTGATAACCACAAACTGAAACTCTTGTACACGCTACCATGTGTCTCACTCGCCCCCCACGCATCTTCCATTGCAGCCATAATTAATATGTGCTTTCACCGCCCCTGAATATCAAGAAACATCTCCACCCATCCCTACTCTCAATCAATCCAGAATAATACCAACAAATCCTCCCAATCCGTTGCAGATAATTCGAAATCGAAAAGGAAAAAGAAAATCAAAAATCATGGTGCGTTGCGGTAATAAACCTAGTCGGGCTCCTGAACATCATCACGCTCGTCCTCTCGATCCCGATCACCGGCGGTGGGATATGGCTTTCCCTGCTGGCCAACACCGAGTGCGAGCGGTTCCTCGACCGGTCGGTCATCAGCGATAGCCTGGCTCCTCGTGTCCATGGTCGAACTCATCGCAGGGTTTCGTGGCTCCGATGGGTGTACCTGCAGTGCTGGTGATAATTGTCACCCTTTTCTGCTTCACGATCTTCACCTTATATTAATAGATCACGTGGACGGTCTCGAGTGTATGCCATTATATTTTCTCTGTATTATTTTTCTGCACGTTTTGCGCCTTAATTTTGAAGAGCTCATAAAAAAAATTGTATCAATTAATACCCTTTTATACACAGGTTTTCTCTGCTCGTTTATCTCCACGAAAATTATGGAATGATTTTGTTAATATATTAACCAAAATAGGAGGATTCTGTTTCCACGAAAATTATGGAATGATTTTGTTAAGATCTTAACAAAAATATGATGATTCTGTTTTTTTTTTTAAACGCGTTAATGTTTAAAAACACGTGAATTTGTTAGGATAATTATCTTATGCGATTTCTTAGAATGAATTTGTTAGGATAATTTGTTAGGATTATTATCTACCAAACAAAATAGGCGTGAAGAATGGTGATAAGATAAATATGATTTAAAAGAAAAAGAAAAGCAATAAAATTTTTAGGATAATTACCAAAGCGTGATATTTAAATGACTTTCTACCAATCTACACAAAACGTGAAAATAAGAGATAAATTAGGAAAAAATTAAAACAAAAGAAAAGCAATAAATATGTCTTTATTTTTTAGATATTTAAAAGACTTTCCACAAATGGGAAGTCAAAGTCTTTTTGACCAATTTTTTAAAACTTTTCTCAAATGATTTTTTTACCTTCCTTTTTCAATTATTATAGATATGTAACCGTTAGAAATAGTTGATCTAACGGTTAATGGCACCGTAACATCTTCCCTAAATTATATAAATAATAAAGATTATATTAATTTCGCAAAAGATAAACTCAAGTTCGATATAGTTTTTGCGCCACTCACTCTTATCTACTATATTCACAGTTCTCAGCTTCCAAAGACAAATTGAGCCCTTTTTATCTAATTTTGTTTTTCGTAACAGTAAAATAGAGAGCAGCAATGGCGGCCACGATGGGTATTTCCTGTTTTCCATATCAAGAACTGAGAAAAAGACCTTCCCATGGCTGCTTGAAAGGTCTGTTCAAATGGGCTTAGCTTCTTTTCATATTTAAAATCAAATTAAACCAAATCCTAGGTTACTGTTCTTTTCTGGAAACTCGATCAGCCTGTTAAATTCAATGAACGTTTTTGTGTGTGTGTGTGTATGTGTTTTTTTTTTTCTTGTTTTAATCATCTGGGTTTTGAGTTTTATGTTAATCCTGTGTATATATTTGTTAGATGGGTTATGGGCATGTCTGGTTTTAACCTCATATGAATTTTTTCCCCCTAAAAATGGTGTCTTGTGAGCTAGACATATCTGTTCAAGATTTGCTGAATATTAAGGTAAAATTA